TTAATCCGTCTAGGAGTTTCCCGGAATTACAAACATATTAACCTCTTATGTTATTGGATGGAGGTTGGATGGATTGATGGATTGATGGATGGATGGATTGATGATTGACTGTGATGGCGATTACTTCGTTGAATGAACTTTTTTGCTTTTTTTAAAAGAAACTCGGTTGTATGGAATGTTCTCGAAACGGCCAGAACTTTCCGATCGACCCATTAATTATGGAACATTTATCGCAGGGGTGCACAACTCAAAAGACTGTGAGGGCCACTTGCGACTTTTAATCACATATCGCGGACCGCAGTCTGGCTGACCATAGCTGTAGCCAACAGGGCAGGAGTCATAGTAGCACCAACAACGCCACCAGTCATGGCGGGCCGCTAGCTAGGACCTCGCGGGCCGTATGTTGTGCACCCCTGATTTATCGCCTCGTTGGTCAGGATTTCCTTTGCGAGGAGTTGAAAATAACGGCAGTCATTGCTCATGCAGCTCTGTGGAAGTGAACGTCAGCAAATCGTAGTGAATCGAATTTCATTAATTTCATAGTGAACATCTACGGTGCGATATCACTACGTAAGTTCGTCTGTACTTTGAATGTCCGTTCGGAGTCCCTCATATGTTTTTATTGCATCGGCCTCCCTTTTGTGAATGGAACCTGAGGAAGAAAAATCATGAAGATATCGATCGGCCTCGTCTTCATCGCTCGAACGCAAAGCTTCCAGTCGGAGTAAGAAAAAGTCCTCACTTTCACAAAGATTTTAATTGTTTTACTTCTCCAGAGTCAATCTCGTCTCCTTTCCCGACCCAAAATTCGCCGCTTGAGAACAGTGAGGCCTGTGGCCTCTTCCTGTCAGAGCCCTGCAGCTTCTCTTGGCTCTCCTGTCAGATCCCTTCCTGATAAAGCAGATATCAGAGCTTCTGTTGGGGCTCCCATCATGGCCCCAATCGGAGCCCTGCGACACGAATGAGGACAACCTTCGTAAGCCCTCTCACATTTCTTCTAATATTTTAATGCTTATTTTTGCATCGAAGTATTTCCAACGGTGATTGCTCTGCCGTTTTCCTATAGGCCGTTGCCACGTACAAGAGTCAGACTTAACTCAAAAGTGCACCAAAGCACAGTAGCTCGACACACTTGCAAAAAAAATGCAGTCGTCCTGAACATAACAGTGTAAATCAGCAATCGCAAATCGCCAACGACGACTATCGTTCACATTTAGCCGCTAAAAGTTAATGCTCCAGTTTCGAAAAACTCATTTATTTACATTTTTGCAACGGATAGTATCGGAGGGCCTAGAGTAGCTTAAACACGAGTCATCAATGAGTGAACATTGTCAGTGGTCATTTTAACATTCTTTAATATAATCCTGTTTTCGAATCGACAGTCAGGCGCTACAATACTGTTAGCAGAGGCAGATAAAGCCTATCTGGATGTAACGGTTATACTGTTAAACCAACGCATTTAAATATTGAGTTTTGCTGAATTTTTCGAAGTAGCCATGTAAATGTGATGTCTACGAAGCTTCAAATCCAGATTTCCACGCCAAGAAGTTACTATAGTGTTATGAATGCCTATGAAGGAAATGTTAAATCCTTCATCTGTCCATATGTGTCGACATGAATGGTTGAACGAACCCAAGTTGATTTCCCAAGGTCGGAGTCGAACCGAATGCCTCTCGTTCAAGAATGAGCTCATTGCAAATATAGCAAGGCAAAAATGCTTTTTTTTCTGATGGGGATTCTTTAGCCTTATTATAGCCACGAATGAACCCTCATCAAAATGTCGAGATTTGAGGGGCTACTCATCCGCAAGCTCTGTTCCTAAAGCCACGGAAAAGGCATTTTTCGCATTCACACTGCGTGTGACGGGGTAACTTTTTCTTCCAACAGTCCTGTGCAAGTGCATTATTCTTGCGCATGGGTTTTCGAACCCAGAGCCATGGAAGTCTTCATCTACCGAATGGACTTCCTGGAATGCCAAACCAGACTCACCGGTTCATCGAGATCGTTGACGAATCCCCCATCCGCTTCCTGGCCACGTACACGTTTTCTTCCCTCGACGGCTCTTAATCACAAGACAGGATGAGTTCCACCCACCCCCTCTACTGCCCCCCGCAAGACCCACGTGAATCGGTGCGTCCGCCTCAGGGCCTCTCTCGCCCTGGAGCCAGGTCCAGAGCTTCGATATTCCTCTGATTTCACTTCAGTTCTACATGTCCTAAATCAGTAACAAAGGGATTAAGAATTACATGAATAGGGTTAGGATATCCTGTCAGTGCCAATTTTACTTTCCTTACAGCAATTGGGATTAGTGGACTTCTGAAAAAATCTAAATCGCTGACTAAATGGCTTTTGTGCAGTGAATTTTTAAATACTTGTTTGGAGAATTATATGTAACGTTTCATGATCATTCTTCACCACAAAGAAAAGCTGTTAATTGAATGCAGCTAGCCCGACTAACGTTGAAGAAAAATAAAAATAAAAAAGGTTGGGCGCATCAGCCAGGAATTCTATGAAACCTATGAGGATCACCTTCTTGTCCGATCAACCATTACAACTATCTTGAATCTTGTCTCTTTAAATCGATTAAAAAAAATAGTAAAAACCGGACATGACACTCGCATTCGTCAATCTGATGAAGGCTCTTGACGCTGTAAATTACAGTATCTTGCTGAAGGGACTACGGACCTATAGTACAAGGAAGGTACAGTTTTTCTATTCAATGATATCGATTAACTTGAATTCAGTTCCGTCAAAGAACTGAACTTGCCCAGAGCCAATCATTTTTGAGGCGAGCTGTGTAGCTGTTCACCAACAGGATATAGGAAAATGTTTCGAGGCATAAAAATGCGATGCATCAACGCTTACACTCATCAACCAGAACATACGAAGTACTTATACATATTGGATCTTTTGCAGGAATTTATCATTAGAATACAGTGTTCCCTAAGGACAAAAATATGCCACATTCTGCCGACCTGTCATCATGGAAGTTGATACCGGCAAGGCTAGCGTAAAATGAATTTAAATCCCATGTAAACTGCTCTTCACCCCGTTAGAAAGAACTAGGTTCATGGGCTCTCGTATCCTCAGCTATATTCTTTGTCGGAGAAAGCGTGTGAGGCTCCGAGGAAACAGTGGAATAATGATTTAGGAAAGCGTCTCTCTCTTGCAGGACGCAATCCTTTCACATCCTTTTACATCCTTCAAATTCCTGTCTCTGTCGCGTCACATCTGGATCCTGGGGGAAAGAAGTCCTGCTGCTCCAGTTCCAACAGCAGCAACTTGCGATGCAGTGAGGTGAGTTGGTTGGACGAATGGAAATTAATGAAGGAATTTAAAAAAAACCTCCTAAAAAGGTCCTTTATACTATCAATATATACATCGATAGCATATAATCTCGCGATGTGCATGGTGATCTTATCGCAGATTACGAGCAGTCATCAGGTTTTTAGTAATCATGGTAGCAGTAATTAGATCAGATTGATTTTAAGATGTGAGGCCCACTACTTAGACGTTTACGGGAGCGGACTACTTCCTCATTAGAGATGTTCCATCTACAATGATAATGAAGTTTCCTGAACCGAGGTCACGGAAGTGGACTGTTTTCACGCAAATTTTGCCTAGTCGCCCAATCCGACTACCGCCTTGCAGCACTCTTACGTACCTCCTAAGTAACCGAGTGGCTCCTATCAAGAAGTGGCTGAAATGGCGTTGCCACGTTGGAGAAACTCACTATTTTCTTTTGCCAGGGATTCCAGGAGCGAGACACCCGAATTTTCGTCTGAGAGCGTGACGGTAGTAGAGTTCAGTTATGATGGCACTTCCGTTGAAGCACCATGTTATGAAGCACATAACGTGTGCGTGTTCGCGATGTCTCGACCCTCTTTCCTTTTATCTCTCTAAAAACTTCACACAATTCTTGCCTCTACTTACTGCCAGTCACTTACGCTACTAACACCACTTTTGAACTCGCTCTGGTGTTAACCCCTAGGGATTAGTGTAACACCCCTTGAAGTATAGGGAATCCCCTCCACACTAACACCGAACTGGGATTGAGATGGCATTTCGTGTTTAACCTGGTGTTACACCGGCGTGAAACACCGGGAAAACATGGTGTTACACCAACACCACAGGGCGAGTTCAAATTAGGTGTTAAGGGGTAGAGTTCGTGTTACACGGAACATTAACACGGTACACCAACACCGAATTTGAACTCACCCATGGCCTCAGAGCTAGGGGCAGTCTGAAAGGGCTTGCAGTTTCATATTTTTCCCCTTCCGAATGAAACCGGAAGAATCACGGTCAAAAGCATAATCCCGCTCCATCATTCTTTGCAAGGTAGTCGGGAGGAAGGAAAGGAAATCTGGAGAGTTGGCAGTACGAACTTCAGTAGGACGTAAATTCCAGTTGAAGAACGGGTTGACGTTGAGCATGAAACGTCAAACGAATACAAGAAGTTTCGTGGCTGGTTCAAAAGCACCTTTGGAGGTCCATTTCTTCCATTAAAAAAAAAGAGAGAAAAATCTACAATTTTCCGCTTATGATGACTTCTCACCTCGCACATCTGTATGGACAACGTCAGGGGTCCATACGACGAGGGGAGTCTGCGTCGAGGTCTGTTGATCAATTGCTGCATCTTGTGATTTAATTCTTCGCGCACTTTCCAGAGCCAATTAGCTGCATTCCTGGAGTCTGCTTGCTAATTCTTATTTTGGACTTCATGCCTCCGTCTCAAGACCCAACTCTACGCTATCAGATGAATAATGAACCAGAGCCCTCTCGTGTTATTATAGGGCATCCAGAAATACATTATGCATTCTGTCTCAATACGTTACGGTAAAATAAGAACGGCATGTGATGAAACTGCAAGAGATTTATTGCAGAACTGACAACCTCTTACTCATCTGCCTTAGCTCTTTCTGGCTCGAAGAAGGAGCAGCAGGTACCCAAGCAGGTGAAATACAAAGAAGAGCACCACGAGTCCTAAAGCGTCAAACGAAAACATGGATGTAGAAAAGGCATAGCTGTCAAGCACTTCGTCGCCAGTCTGGAAGCACCTTCTCGCCACTTCATTCCCACAACCTGGTAAAATAATTTTTTTTTCAGGAGTGTGAACAGCTTAAAATCGGGGTTGAATGAGAGTCGGATGGGCCTGCGAATGGATGGACGTACTGATGCTCGAGATTCCTGAGAACTGAGTGATCATGAGTCCCTCGAATCCCAGACGGAAGAAGGACAAGTACTGGATCCAACTGATCCAGTGTGGCAAAGTTCTGCAAACAAAAAAAGGAAGAAGCGAATGTACGATAATACAGTATATCAAGAAATATCTGACACGTGGAAACAGATTAGGCTTAAGTAAAGATGTTAGGAGTCTGGGACAAGAAAGGGGTGCAGTAGACTCAAACTCTCTTTCGCCTTCTCCTATCCGATTAGTGCAATGGACTGGATTCGGTTCTTAACCATCCCCTTCCCCTTCCGTGTATGAATGATATGGATAGGTACACATACCCCGGTTTGAAGAAAAATCCGCTGAGAGTGGAAGCAACGAGAGAGATGGGATTAGCCAACGCCAATGGGACAGACACGTTGTCGAATGGAGCGCATATGGCACAACCTGAGGATGACGAAATACACTTTCAGCAACGCTGTTAAGCCGATAAACTTAACAATGTCAGGTCGATCTGTCGTCTGTCTTTACCATTTGCAGCGGCAGCATTTGCCATCAATGTGGTGAAAAGAAGAGTAGAGAGAAAACTCCAAATGCTCTTATTGATATCGGCGATGAGAAATGTGAGGATAGTTAGGATAATCCCATCCCAAATCACCTCGGGTATCTGGTTTGGAATTAGGAGGAAAATGAAATAAACTCAATCGTCTTGGTAAATCTCATTAGCGTTATTTGCCTCTTCGAAAACAAGTTCAACATAAAAAATGACAAGATTTTGCAAGAAATTTTGTATATGATGAGGCAAAGGTTGAAGCATGCATACATTTTTTTTATGAATGCAAACTTTGCCATGCGACAAGACACTGAATAAGCATTTGCAGGCGACTGTGTCACACGAAGATTCACCCATACGGATATCCTGTTTTGAGTCATTAGTGCATCAGGGTGAGGCGTCACCAATGAGATAAAACTTAAAACCCCGCTTCTGACTCAGAAATTAGAATGTGAGGACATTTTATTTTTTGCACATCTGATATTGTGGCCCAGTAGGTGTCATCGCTTCCGTTGAACCGACGATAAACTTTTTTTCCCTACTGATTCCTCTTTTAGCTGAAGGATGGCTGAGGGCTGGATGCAATAAGCATGGACCATGGTTTTAAATGGACCCTTTAGTCATTTATCGGGATTTTAAAAAAATTGCCCTATATAAAAACTTTCTCATTTCCGTTAAAATTACTACTGTATCTATGCTACCTCAATAAAGGAGAACGCAGGACTTCTTCACCTAGATTTCTTCCCTTTTGTGTCGAAGATGTCATTTCCTTGTTTGCACTGCTTACATACCTCAGATTAAAATTCCTAGGCTCGAAAGGATTATCAACTTTTTCCGATGAAATATTCCTGAAATTATAACAAAGTGAGGAATGGCGCAGAAGCGGGGTATTTTTTAACTGACAAGAGGGATCCGAAGATGACGGAGTCGAGGTGTGATCGACAAATTTTGCAACCTAGTCTTCATAGTGGAAAAATAAATACAAGAAATTACATATCGAGAACATTTTGATCATCCCTCTTAAATCCCCAACACTCTCGGCAAATCCAACTCTAATCCGAAACACCTATCGCAGAAGAATTCTTGCAAAAAAGTTCGATGAAAATATCAATAGTAATAAAAATCGTGGAAAACACGATTCTGTCGAGGTACTCACCAGTAGAATTGCTTTGGAGGCATAGAAGGAATGGACGTGATAGAGTCCGGCTTGGTACTCACGGTTGAATATGTGCAACTCTCGAGGGAAAATATTCAGAACCCGATTGTTCACTGGGTAAATAGCTTCACATACCAAATAAAACATGGCGCCTGCCAAGGCCTGGATCCCTCTTTGGTCCCTCGGAATGCTCGTGAAGATGAACGCAACCACAGAGATAATGACCTAAATGACAAAGTGACGTATCTCCTGAACATTACATGTGCCTTACAGGGTGTTGGCAGTCAAACTGAGAGATGCTAAGGCAAAATCCTGATGAATGACGAATCAGGATTGTCCCTGTTTGTCCCTCAGAGAGTCAAAAATTACGTTTAAAAAAATTTAATTAAATTAACCTACGAGGGACCCTCGGAACCTCTTGCTGCCCGTGGCCGAACAAACCTAACAAAACTGGAAAATACGACTCACAAATTTCTGCAGGAGGTTGCGTGCGCTGAAGTAACTTTCGCTGGATTCTTTTTTAGTTCTCCAAATCAGGAGACCGAGTTCCCGCCACCACCCTAAGCGTTTCCTATTGCCGGAGGACGACATTGTATTGTTCAAAGATGGCAACATAACTGAGCATAGGGGCAGGGGAGTCATCACTACACACGGCATGGTAATGAAAATACTGTTGGATCACCTCTGGAAGATTAGGCTTCCCGAGTCGTAGTCATAATCGGTGAATTGTTCTGCGATATCTCCTTGTACATTCCTTGCCAGATCGGACTTGGAATAAGCATCACAAATCTCATTTTCTGTCTCGGTCCCTCTCCTTAAAGCTGCCATGGCCAAAACGTTGATGAGGAAATCGGCTGGATTGTATCGGCTGGGGCACTCGTGACCGATGCTAACAGAACGTCGTTGCACGAATTAAACTAGATCCGAACGGACGGAGAAGAAAATGTCGTAAACGAGAGGAGAGGCTCACGAGGTGAAAAACTGCAGGACATCTTCCTTGGGACCGTGGCAAGCCAGGCGGCCTTCGACTAGAAACATGATGTTCGTGAATAAGGAGAAGATCCTCGAGGACGGCTGGTGGATGGTGCAGATCACGGTCTTCCCCCGTCTGCTCAGCTCTTGCATCATCTTCACGATCCTCTCCGCATTGTTCGAATCCAGACCGGACGTCGGCTCATCGCAGAACAGCAATGGGGGGTCCGTGATCACCTACGAGAGTGAGAGCGAGGCATGGGAGGAGGGAGATATAGTCATCACGAATCTGCGAATTGTACGCCGCTACAGCGACACAAAGAAAGAATCGTAGCAGAGAATGCCCATCTACCAAACGGGGCACCGATCGTGAGTCAACTCTCGCGATAGCAGGAACAGATTTATCCGTTGGTCTAGATCTCTCAGTTTACCGAGTTTCTAATGTAACCCCCAAGACTTGGCACTTCCTAAATCCCATCTTCCATCTGTTCCGGTCGTTCTTGTTTCCCCTACGGCAGAAGCTACTGAGCCGATTTTGCTAAAGGAATTAACGACCATGGTCCTTCCAAGATATCTTTGCTATATCCCAAGTATTGAGCCTCTTGTGATAGATAATAAAAAAGCTGAATCTTTCAAAAAGAACAAGATCTGTTAACAAGGTCTGTTAGGACATCGAATGACAAGAATACATGAGAGTTTCCCAACTATCTCTCGCTTTGTCTCTACTCTTGGACTCTTCCATGCAAAAGAGATACACAATATCCTCCAAACACTTAATCCTACTTTAACGGTCAATTTACAATTTATTATATAAGTTAGGTGTGGTCTGAACGACCTACATGCACTGCATCGAAGAGAAAATGGACGCACAGTAAATTAAGTAGGGGAGGGAGAACATAGGCTACTAGTTCCGAGGGTCTCTCGAATGCCATGCTTCGGTCTTAGCGAGGAAAACGGCAGAAATTGATCTGCGAAGGCATTTCCGAGCTCGCATGGTTCGCGAATTAGTATGCCATGAACGTGCAATCTCAAACTATTCTCCACATCATCTTTCCATGCTAGGTTAATATTTCCTACTAAAGATCCTCAGCACCAGGGCGCTAAGAAATGACTAAAAAAATTTGGTGATCCGCTAGGAGCAGAGCGAGAGAGAGAGTCAGATGAACTGCAGATACCTCCGAGGCGAAGGCCAGTCTCTTCTGTTCCCCGCCGGAGATGCCTTTCCTAGTGGCAGGGGATCCAATGACCGTGGAGGCAGCCGACCTGAGACCCACTTCGTCCATCACTTCCTCCACCCGTCTCTCCCTCTCCGCCTTCTTTATTCCTCCTCCTAATTTCATGCACACCTTGTCATAAAAAAGGACAACGAATAGGCTCAGGGCGGACCTTCTGGAGATGACTGGGCCTTATAGACCTAAAAACAAGAATTACTTAATCGATGAAAGCATGACCTGCACGCTATCGCAGCTATTAAAAAACAAAATAATCGATAACATGCCAGCACGATCCACGTCAGAACGCTAGCAACTTCTGACCGATCAAGCTTCAAATGCACCTGAATGAATTGAGGATTGGAAGCACAATACCAATCAAATCATATGAATTATTTTTTATACCAAGCAGTAACCTTGCTTGAGAAGATTTTATGAATGATTCAAACTCCGTGTGCTCCCCCAAAAAAATGTTATTAGTCTAAAACTTATCTTTGCCTCAATAGCCTCGTTCAGGCACACGAAAAACCCAGCTTACCTGGCAAACTGGGAATGCTGGAAGTATTCAGGCACAAAAAGTCTAGTCTAAAAAGTCAGCTAAGTCGTGAGTTAGTTGTTACCTGGCTACTTTGTAGCAGTATTCATAAGTTTTCTGATAGCTACCTCCAACTTCACATTAGATCAGTATCAATCAGCTTAATTACTTTAAGTATTAGCTCATTACTCGTAGTATTCCTTTTACTACAAGGACTAGGACAGTGCAGTCTTACCGGGTTACAACTAGTGTGAAGTACTGCAAAGTATAAGTCTAAAGCAGTAGGAGTGTCAATAGGGATCAATAACATTAAGTAAGATGCCTAGGATGTGTAGATGCGTTCGTTGCGGGGATTGGGTAGGTGGGACTAGTGAACGAGAGGTATGCCAGGTATGCAGAGTCTGTAGCTTGGAGGAGCGACTAGGGGAGCTATCGGGAAGGCTCATTAGCGTGGAGGAGGAGATTAGGGGGATCAGGAAGGAGGT